CCCTACACTTTGTTACCTGCAACAGTCAAAGCTTTGGCACCTTCTTTAGAATTGCACACAACAATTCAAGGTGGAAGGCAAGAGTCTTTTTGGCAATTGTAATGCAAAAAAAACCAAGGCCACCCTGAAAAAAAGTTAGCCGATTGGAGTAAAAGGAAGCTTTAAGAACTAGTATAGAATGCATAGTAGCCCATGCCTTTTGAAGTGTCTTTGCTATAGTCCTCAGCATTAATGTCCTCACATTTCATAGTTGGAGAGTTTTCATTGCTGGAAGTGCTAGGGGAGAGCCGTCTTCTCTTACAAGCACCTGTGTAGACTCCAGAATCATTTGAATCTAGAGACTTTATGGAGGGTGGAGTCTCTATCCAGGATGAGCCGATTTCTTCTTTCACCTTCTCCTTGGAAAGCAGGTCTTCAGAGAAACCTGGAGGACTTGTTCTGGAGGTCCAAGGTAATCCCGTCGTCATTTTCCGCTGATAAGAGCCCCTGCTCCCCCAGCCTGCCATGGATGGAAATGTCGGGTCAGGGTAGTACCCCAGAGCATGGGATGTCTGAAGGGGGAGGGATTTAATGCCATAAGGGAGCAAGGTGCTAGGAGAATACTCTGTCTCATAGGAGTTCATGTCCAGTTTGTTGGCACTGGGCTGCTGTACAGGTGTAACAAACCACCGCTGAGGAGGGCTGGCCACCTCTTCATTCTGCTGCGGGGAGAGCAAGCCATTCGTCTGAGGGACGGTTCTCTCACCATTGTAAAACCTGGCTGGGGGCAGGTTGTTGACAAACTGTTCTTGGAAGAAGGGTTGCACGCTGTATCGGGCGCCAGGGACGATCTGGTGGGATCTAGGAGAATCCGTGGGAGATGGAGTTAATCTGTCATTTTCTGAAGCTGTGTACATGCTACAACACAAAAGAGAAATTCTGAGTGTTGCTCTTTACACTTCAGTATGATAGTAAGACAACACAAAAACAAACAGGAAGAAACAGTTTTTTCTTAATTAGACTCACAACTATGTTTAACTGGATGGCTGTTCATTGTTTTTCTAGGACCAGTATAAAAATTGTAATATTACTGCTACAAGTATTTGCTGTTCTCTGCGAGCCAACTAATTTTAAGGGAGGTGCAGCACTTTCATCTCAGAAGCATTACTTGTGTATATACAGCTTCAGTTTTTCAAAGGCCCTTTGATGCTAGAAAATGAGCATTAAGCAAATCTTCCACTGACAACTAGAATAAGTTGCTAACTCTGTGGAGATACCTGATACACTACTGCCAATCTGCAGACCAGCTAGGTTCTGCCAATACATGTTTTCTAACAAAATTCAGAAGGTTGCTAGAATACAGGTCAAGACAGTACAGTATATATTCAAGCAGACATTTAAAGTTTCTAGACAGACTATCTTTGAAAGAAGCACATCACCTAGCACAGCTGCCAGTAGAAGTATTACTACTTCTGAGTAACTCAAGTAGTGTCTAAAGTAAAACTCTTTGACACACATTTCAGGTCTGAATTTTGCCTCCTAGTCAGAGACAACTGTAAGAGAAGACAGAAGTATACTTACGAGTCATAGTTGTCTCTGAAGCCTTTTGCGAAGGGATTATGGTCAATTTTGAGCTGGGTAATCTAAAAGTGAGAGCAGAATTTAGTAAGATGAGATTTTGAACCCACACAACAATTTTAATTTTAATTGTCATTTTATACATCCATGCTTACATCAGTGTTTTGATACGCTGTAACTGCTATGAACTGCGTTTCAGGGAAAATAAATGTCTGCGTCTTTGAGGAATCATTCAAATCTTCAACACCATCTTCAGTCACCTCCACGATGTGAAGTCGTGGCTGGTACTTGTGCAGAGACTGCAGTACTATCATCTAAAAGGAACCACAGAAAAAACATGATCTTTAGACAAACCGCATCTGGCATTAAAACATCTATTTTATAGCCTGACATTTTCTTCCTATAAATTGTAATTTTTTTGACTTGGAAATGAAGCAATTATAACTCTTAACAGATGATTCATAGCTTGTAGCCCCATTTTGCTAGATTACTAATACACTAAAATCTATAAATGCAGGAAATCAAAAGCTATCAGCTACATTCCCACTTTTTGAGCAACTCCAGAGATACATATTGGCTAAAACCAAAGAGTCCTCACATCTATTTCTAACATTTCTAATTGTCTCCATAAGGAGAAGCAAAGATAACAATATCTACTATACAGTTCAAGAAGGGAACAAGTTGTACTGTGATGTAGTAGCTCGACTAAATGCTGTAAAGCCTCAAAAACCCAAGCCCGCCGGCTGAGCGACCAAGAGCCCCTGCCCGCCATTTACCTGCGCATTGTTGTTGTTGGCACCTTTGTTGTTCGTTAGTTTCAGCTTTCCGAAAGAAATCTCCTGCCTCATCCAGTGAGCCCCAGTGTTGGGAGATTCGGGATGGACGTACACCTTGTTTCCTGAGAGAAAGAAGCCGGTAAGGAGCCCACCAGGAACGTTTTGCTCCAACGCTAGCAGGCCCTCGGGTCCCCCTGATGTGCTGTGCTCTCCCGCACAGCCTCAAACACCGCAGCGTGAAATAAAGTTGCAAGACGCCCTTAAAGGGTAATTCTACCCGCAGCGGGATGCCAAGGATCGGTAAACCCCTTGGAGAGAGAAAGGGAGCGAAGCTGAAACCCCTTCTGGGAAGCCGATCCGCGGAGGAAACCGGCTGGGAGACCACAGAGAACCCGCACCTACCTTGCATGTTGTTGTCGGCTTTGCCACAGGTCACCCACTTGCCTCCTTGAAAACGCCAGTGGTTGGGATCCGCCAACACCACCTCTACAAAGACGTTGTAGTGGGCCGTGGGGTTAAGGCCGGTGATGTTAAAGCTCAGAAAAGGAAACATCCTCCTGGGAAAGGGGAGAAAAGCACACGGCATGCGAGACGGGCCGGGGGAGGAGGTGCGGGCTTCAGCGGCAACTGGAGGGGTTCACAGTCGCGGGTTTCCCCGTCTCTCCCAGTACCGAGAAGACCAAGAAAGCAGGCGTCGAGCCCCAACAGACCTCTGCCTTGCCAGCCTGGTACGGGGAAATTGGGAGAGCCACTTCTCGGGAAAAGCATTTCCGAGCGGGAGGCTGTAACGACGGGGAGGGCACGCACTCGCCGTGCATCCCACTTTCCAGGGGAGCGGCCCCGGGAGCCCCCCATTACTTCCCTCCGCTTCGGCCCACCTCTTGCCTACTTACCGGCCCTGCTTGGTGATGATCATC